TAGATTTTTGGTCGCCGCAAACGCTACAGAACCAAAGCAAGTGATAGGAAAACTACGATCTCACTCTTTCTCTGAATGGTAAAGTACCAGTAGTTCATACTTGGCATCAATAAATAGTCCATTGAGGGATGAATAAACCTCAGTCTGGCGCGGGTTTACCCATCGACGGCAATGATCACGATTCTTGAGCACCACTACGGGCCATAAACACTTTTTTCTAAGCCATTCTATTTTGACTTAAATTTTCGACATTTTTCGCTTCTGACAACTGAAATTAAACAGCACCGTCCATTTTTTTTACCTTCAAAAACACCTTTTCCCCTTTTTCTTTGACCTAGTTTCCTGCGAGGGTTCACCGCGGTTACCGTTAGTATTTGATTAACGCGGCAAGAAAAGAAAAATAGCTGTTCAGCGTAGAAATTGAAACAAAAAAAAAACAAAAAAAAACAAATTAACCGCTATTGTAAAAAGTTAACTGTGAAAAATTTTCTGGTAATCGAAAGGAAAGAATTAAGGTGGCTGAAAACAGTTTTTGATACATTTGTTACTTTCATCATTTTCTCTAAAACCCTTGATCTCTCGGTCGCTAAGGTTGGCAGCGAGCAAATTAACAACACAAACTTTGATTTTTCGATAGTTAACCTGACTTATATGCCGTTGCCATGGCGACATGAATAGATATGAAAAGGCAATTAAAATCGGTTTTGTTTCTTTGTAGAAAATCTAGTCATTAGATTTTCTTTATAATTTGCATGAAGCGAGCATATAACGATAATCACAAGTTAACACCATTTTCAAATTGATAACAATTTACCAGAGAGATCTTTGATTATCCCTTGTTGAATGTTTACTCGATTTTCTAGAATTTCCTTTGTTTAAAAGCAATTTTTTTCAATAGTCCAGTTACTTTTTTCTTAAAGTATTTTTGTGCCAAATTTCGTGAAATTGTAATGAGTGGTTCTCAAGAAATAGGCATATTTCCGAAAAGCAATTTCCATTAAAATCGCAATTTTCTTACGTACTGCGCATGCGCTGCATTTAACTGGTTTCGGTAACGACGAAAAAGCTGAGAATTGCTGGGTTCTTTGCACCGTTAACTTTTCTAACATATCTTTGTAATAAAAGAATAAATCCCTCTATACACTGCGCAAACTACAGAGAAAAAATAGCACAGGTAGTGCGGGTATGTGTTGAGTAAATGAAATGACCGCTCTGACGGCATGTTTGTTTTTTGCAATCCTTGTGCGCGCGCTGAATTGCATCAGCAAAAGCGCGCGCGAAAATTGTGTTCAGCCACCTTAACTGCAGCCGTGAAACAGTCAAAATCCCTACATTTAGCTGTAGCCATCACCCCATTGCGATCAACCTGTTTCTTCTCTCTGACTAATTGAACTATTTTCTCGAAAATCAACCTTATTTAACCGCCTCCGGGTTAGCTCAATTGGTTACATACATACATACTTTATTGCATAGTTCCCCCCTGGGGGCTCTTCCGCCATACATGAATATAAGATATTAAGTCATAAAAACGTCATAATAAGATAACATG